CCTACCCCATCCCCGCTAGAACAAATCCTGGACTAGACTAATGCCCCGGACTTAAGTCACCCCATCGTCTCTTGAACAAATCCTGGCCTAGACTTAAGCCCCGGACTTTAGCCTACCCCACCGTCCCTAGAACAACTCCTTAAGACCCCTACCTTAACCTACCCCATCTTGATTAACCTCCCCCATCTTAATTGTGCTGGACTAGGCATTATACCATGAGGCCAAGGCCTAATTAAGTAACACTAATGTTGCAGGCTATGCTCAAGATCGAGATGCCAGACGAGCAGCCCGTGGCCAGCAATGCCGCAGTCAGGTCAGTGGCTGCAGATGCCCTGAAGCTGGAGTCCTTGGCTAGCCCACAGAAGGCTCCGCGAACGATTTCATGGGGTCCTGTTATTAGGGAGATCGACCTGTGCAAGGATGATCCATACATGGTATCGGCTGGGAAACAAGGGCCTGCTTGCTCAGCTGTCGATCATGCTCTGCACAGACTGGGGACTGATGACATCCAGGACTGTGTGACTCAAAGCTGTTGATAAAGTCTGCTACTGATAGCCTAATTTCTAGCTAGCTTTTGCAATCCCGAAGCCCCAGCCACCGATCTGACCTGTGTCAAGGAGAGGGCTCTGGAAGCTCGACAGGCTGTGCCGAAGGTCCAAGAAGTTCCGGCTCAGGAGGCAGCTTTAAATTTGTTGTAAGGTCAGAAGAAATTCTCATTGATTAATGATGCTGTATGTGTCTTTCGAGGTTTAGTGGTTGTGGGTACCCGTGGGTGTTGTGATGACCGGGCTTGGCATTGCAAGCTTACTACATCGCCTAGGGCCTAGTCTTCAAAATTGCTAATATGCCCAGAGCTTCTAGTATCGCAACACCTTATGCCAAGACCCTGACCCAAAACGCTGAACCCCGATCTCCTGCTGATGCTAAGACCCTGACTAGAAACCTCCCAGCCAAGTGGCTCCAAGCTTTCTACAATAGTAGCCCGAGCTATATAATTCTCTAGAGTGGCCCTGCTGGTACTACCCCTAAAGCTTGTAACATCTGCAGCCCCGAAGCCTAGCCCACCGGAACCCGCAAGTCCCATAAACCCAATCTTCTTGGAGGCTCGAAAGGATGCTCTGCAAGTCGCCCTTCCTGAGGATGAGGAGGACTTGGAGGCTAAGGAGAAGAGGGCAGCCGATCTTGCAAGAAGGGCTTCTCGTGCTAAGATGATGCGCTCACTGAAGAGAGCCATGGTTCAAAATATTATCATTACTTTCGAAATGGAAACTGGCTTCAATAATGCATACGCTAGATCATGCAAATATAGAATAACTAGCTAGTGGTTATATATACATACTATAGGCCGGCTATATAGCTGTACGTGATCATGAGTGTCTATATATATGTATATATATATAATTATAGATAGCTAGCGCTAATCGAATAATAGGGTACGTTACATCGTTCAACTAAATAGCTATAGTGTGCTGGTTGCTGGCTCGAGGTGATGACCTGCCTCCCACGATCCTTGCAAAAGCCAAGGTGGCACAAAAGAGTAGCTTGGATACGTTAAGCATAAATCAGACTGTGCTGAATATACATGCATGCATAATAACTGCTGCAATATCACTAGCCGTGACCGTGCCTAAACCCTAGCTAGCAGTGAGAGCACGAGGTGTGACTTGATACATCTACAGCTTCAGGTCTTCAAGGGTTTAAGGGGTTAGGGTATCAGGGTAATTTTGATGTTATGCATAATTGTGTATCCCGTGTTGTACTTCGAACTCAGCTAAGATCGCAAGTACGGAGAGCTGCTTGACCTATTCATCGAAGCCGGGGAGAGCTGGGCGAATTGCACTTTGGTGCAAACATCGTCGAATCAGGATCGGCATCGTGTTACCGGAGGGTCAAAGTACAGACGCTTCAAGGACATTGTCAAAGATGAGGGGGAGGAAGCGGCTACACTCTTGCGTGACATGAAGAAACACTTGCAAAACACTCAGGGGAACGTCCACCCGGACGTGCCACATTGGTGTGTTCACCCGGACTGGCCATCGTCACCTGCTCCTTGGACCCTTTAACTCCTCACTCTTTGCAGGCTATACTATATGCTCTTGCCTGGCAGGGTTTTGTGTTGCATGTTCCCGACGAGGACATGGAATTGTTTCTTTGCTGGGATGAAGGGACAGTGGCAGCAATGAAAGACACTTCGACAACCTCAGAGCAGCAGGTGAGTATGGAACTCGATGGAAGTCTCGCGGGAGGTCTTCGGTGCCTCGTATGAATTCCTAGTACTTGATCAAGTAATTTATAAATTAATAAAATAATTATTACAATAGCTAGATGTAATAAAGTATTAGATATTATGTTATAACATGTTCCGTTTAAATTACTCCATATGGGTCCGAACGGCTTGTGCTAGTTTCAGGTCATCATCCTTGGGAACTCCAGTAGGGTTAACTTCATAGGCCAGTAGTGGCACGAAAACAATTTAAAATGCAGTCCGATCCGGAAACCTCACGTGAAGCCCAATTGCAACAATCTAGATTCCTGAAAGCATGACCCTGAATCCTGAAGCATGTTCGTGATCTTATAATTACAAAACCCTGAAGCCTAGAGCCCTCTTCCAAACCTCCAAACCTGGTGAGCCCCAAACCTCGAGTGTCTGATCATCCAAGGGTTGCAGCTCCGACACTCACCACAGATCCGATGGGCCGTGGCAGGATGTTGCAGCCGTCGCACAGCTTGGAGAGCCTGGGTGACCAAGGTCAGCCGGGAGGGGAAGGTGCAGGCAAAGGTGGAGGCAAAAAAAAAAAAAACTGGCAACGACAATGAGACGA